TTTTCACAAAACTCTTCTCTCTCTATCTGTGGAGAAACTGTTGATTATGTTAAATAAAACACATCAAGTCAAAATTTATGTAATTTGTATGTTACTAGACCAACTAAATAACATTCATCGGATGGTTACTATTTTTTTGTTTTGAGGTGGATTTCAGTCGTGCAAAAATTTATTGTCATTTCACAAAATTTATTTAGAATAATTTCTGTAATATTTCATCCTAGTTTAAAGCAAAGTTGCTTCTCTTGTTTTAACGCAAAAGCCTTCTAAGGTATCATAAATGTGCTCATAACTCTCCACAGTTTTAAAAAACACACTCCAACGATCCTGTATGGAAAACTGTCACAAATATAAAACGAGGCAGACATAAAATCTGGATTTTGTCTCAGGTTTTGTGAGGCATTTCTTTGTCAAAAAGCCATTTCCAGACAAACACAGTGTACGAGGAACATCGAATGAAAACTGTGGCAAAAATTATGAATTGAGAAAAGAACAAACACACATTGTTGGTTTTCATCTCAGCTTTCGAGTTGTTGCAGATTCGTATCTATATATCATTTCCTGCTTTTGTTTTTATTCCCCTTCAGCTTTTAAAGCAACGTTTTTATGTGGAAAGTGCCAGAGACTGTGGCTGCTTACCGAGTGTGAACCGTTCGTGCTTCCTTTGTTTTGCTCCCTCGATTGCCTCTTCGGTAGAGGAAAACAAAAGCTTGATGAAATTGATTTGTTCAGCAGCTGAACCATGACTGGTTGAGCTGTAAAGGAGGGTTAGCGAGCTGTCAGCTGCTAACTTCTTCAGTATAGTGTAAAGCAGTATTTTAATTTTTCTTGACTGGCAAATAATTTCACATTTCAAGTGATTTTGTGGATGAAATTAGTTTCTTGTTAAAATATATATACTCTTTATCACAACATGTGTGTTTATCTAGGTGTAATAATAGATACTTAAGCATAATTACTGATGGTAAGAAGTAATTCACCTGTTGCTGTTTTTTGATTCTCCACAGAAAAGACATCCTGCCGTGTTAAATGTTTTATGCCCATATGATGTGTGTGGATTTAGTCAGTAGAAAGTATTTCTCCTGTATATGTTAAAACAAAGATTAGGCATCGTGACGGCATTTTGATGTTTTTTGGTTTAAAAATACATAATATCTTCTATTTTGTGTCACCTTGTAGATTATTTTCCATAACTTTATATGACAATTTGACGTTTTTCTCTGCCTCGCTGGAATCTCCTCCGAAGTTTCCCTGCTTTTTAAAACTCCATTTAAAGCAGCGCTGCCACGTACTAAGCATCTATCAGACAGCAGGCTCAGAGCTCTGGATTCAAATAATCTCCTGAGTGACATCTTAAGAAGGCTTTGCTTTCAGCTTCTCTCCTTTTTCACTTCTTCTTTTCATCTAGCTGGTTTTTTTTCTGTTTTCATTTTTATTTTTGGTTAACTCTCGTGTTGTCTCTGGAGGCCTGCCATCGAGAGTTCATCAGCGGCGGGGTTCATGGTGTCATTGTTGTGTGCAGTGATGATGAGAGGTTATCTTCTGTGTCTGAAGGCGGGAACTTGATGAAAAAAAGGGTCGGCAGGATTTCGTCAGCAGTCCATTCCAATTAACTCTGTTCTTTATGCTTTTATCTTCCCCAGCTTAATTTAGTCAAATGATGATAGTATTTTAAAAGGTTTTTGGAGACAAACACTGAAAGCGACCCAAGATTTCTTTTCATATCGTGCTCCCTATTCTTATTATTTTTTTTTTAGTTTTCTCTGCTCTTTGCTGCCCATCGTCAAAGGAACAAGCCTTTCAAATCCTTCCACCAGTGTAGTTTTTTTGTTATCAGTCCAGAAATAATGGGGACACCAATGCTTTACACAGTAAAAACTTAATTACAATGTGGATCATTTGTATGGAAACCTCTAAAAACATTTGTGCATGTGCAGAAACAAGAAACTGAATAGAAACAGAGTAAAACTGGAGTGACAATATGCATTATTTTGGCCTCAGGAGAGTTAATTAGAGGACATCAGCACATTAAACAGATGCTAAAACTAAACATCCACACATACCTTCACTGATGATGAGTCACCATTTGCACATTGAATATCACTTAGAGAAAATCACAACAAAGTTCAAATGTCATTGTGACTTTAACTTTGTGATGTGAACTAGTATTGGAAGAAAAAAACAAACAGTTTTTATCGGTAGCCAATAATCTTAAGTGATGTCACTTAAGAGTATAATGACAATATTTTCTCGTGTAGATCTGCGTTACTGATTTTTACTCAAAAATGTCCAGCAATAATATAAGACCCTAACAGCACTTTGAGTCAATTCTGACAGCTACTGAGTAGTTTAATAATTCACAATCCAAGAGATTACCACGTCCACAGAGCGGTGTTGAGTTTGGACAGCCGACAGAGATGAATGCCTTTAACAGAACAGCAGAGCCAATGAAAGCCTTTTCACCAAACCCGAGGCCTTGCAGAAGGAGGAACTTGTCAATTGCTTTAATAGTCAGCAAAGACTGAATCAGGTGGCTCTAACATGGTTTTGTCGTGACTGCTCTTTAGTAGGTGAAAAGGTTTTACACTTTTCAAGGTGGAAAAGCTCTTCTTTCCCACTTTGTCAAAATGCATGAATACTCTTGGATAAAAGAGTCTTATATAAAATCAATCTTTGTTGCTTTCACCAAGTGCCGCCTTACAGAGTTCCCATCCCCGTGGCTCCTCCACTCAACTCCTCCAGACTAGCGGCAGCAGCAACTAGCAAACACCTGGTGGAACTGCATGTCTGCTGGACTTATCATACAAACAGTGCAACGCTCCTGAGGATGGCTGATAACTGCATAATGGAGGAGCATTGTTGTGATCACATGCTGAAGGCAGAGTGTCACCACCTTTAAGAGCAGGAGCTTTTTAAAGAGACAGAGGCCAAATTTAATCAGCATTTAAGCTGATTTACGTAGAATATATAACATCTGAAGGTATATGGGTACATAGGGCCTTTGTACTGTACACCAAATACATATTTCAGATTCTTAAGTTTCGTTTTCTTTTGAATATTTCAGATATGCTCAAAAACAGCAACAGCAGGTTTTCCTTGAATATCAGGAGTCCTCAAATCCAGTCCTCGAGGGCCGGTGTCCTGCAACATTTAGATGTGTCCCATGTTCAACACGCCGCAGTCAAATGGCTGAATCACCTCCTCAGTACGCAGTCATGTTGCTGCTAACAACCTCATTATTTGACTCAGATGTTGAGCTAGAGACGCATCTGAAACCGGCAGGACACCGAGCCTGAAGGGTCGGTTTTGAGGATCCCTGGTTTAGACTCACGTTCCACAGAAAAGTCAGCAAACAGGTGAATCAGCAAATATTGTACAGCAATATACGGTGCATTGAGAAAACAAATAGCTGCACCTTGCATTAAATCAACAAACACTGACATTAGTCCCTTGCATGGGTTTAATCATCAAAATACACAAAAAATGAACCTGAAAGAATTTATGTTACATTGTTTGTATTTTACACAACCAATATATAGGTTATATATTCTGATGTATATACTTATTGATGTCATCATTAAATTACTTGTTTGCATCTGACTAGGCCAAATACCCCTGAAGAGCACTCACCTCTGATCCCCGACGGACATTGTGACATCAACGCATATATTTAGAAAGATATTGACAAGCTATCGTGTTTAAAAAGTGCAGGAGTGATCCCTAATGTAATTGAGTTTTTTTTTTCAGTCACGTCTTTTAGATTTCTATTACTAAGCTTTTATTTGAGTATTCATTTCATTTTTACACGCATACAAGTTTTAAGCTTTGCTCCAAGAAAAGCTTAGTAACAGAAATCTAAAAAAAAAAACTCTGCGGAAAAACTTGAGAAAGTAATTGGTCCTCCCACCTTCTATGCCTGCACCAAAATAAAAAAAATCTTTTATATCTTATCCACAGGCTATAGTCAACGTCTCTTCACTGGGCTAAAATAGCTTCTTCCCCTTGGTTGACATCCTCACAATGTCCCTCAGGCAACCTACGTCAGGACAATTTGTAAATACAACTGCAAATATATATATATTTTTGCTAAATGTAGTCATGAAATGAGGCATCCAGACAGACACACACCTATATTAGGTTAATCGTGAAATATTGTGTCTGAACTCACCGTACAGGATTAATCAGGGGAAGAGAGCGGATATGCTTGTCAGAGCTTATTTCACTGGTATTTACTTTTTTTGTAAATACTAATCCCAGGTATTTTAATACCTGCTCAAATAAACATATCCAAGAGTTGATGTGTGCCCACGCAGGGCAGAGTCTCCTGGTTTGACAGGGTTTGTTTTGGAGCTGTACTGAAGCTAGAGACGGAGGGAGAGAAGAAAGTAAATGTTGAAAACGAAGCAAATTTTAGGATAAAGATAAAGGTACTCCATTAAATCTATACTGGTATTTATGGGCCATGTAAAAAATATTAACTAAATTTACATAAAATATATTGAGGCACCAAAAGAAAATTACAACTTTCAGATGGTCGGGGTAAGAATTGGGTGAGGCGATAATTTCCCTAAGCGTGTTCAACAAAATTAAAACAAAGAAAGAAAATACATCTTTTTTCGTTTGGCCCTTCATCGCTGAAAGTTATCCCTCATCTCAGACTTGCTCAAAGAAAACTTTTTACTCTGATCTCAGCAGTGAAGAGATACTCTAAAGAGAGAATTTTGCAGACGGTTCATCGAATATCATAAAACATTTACGGCACAAATTCAAAAAGCTCACTAATGAGAAGCTGCATCAAAATTAGAAGGAGACAAAGCCTGGCTTCCCCCAGCTCTCAGTCAAAGTCATCCCCAACGCGACTGAATCTGATTAGACGGGCTGTGGAGGACGGCTGCAACTGATCAGGTTCTCATTGAACTCCCTCTTTTCTTCCATTTTTTTTTTTTTTTACACTTTTGGTCACAGTTTTCTCTCCCTACTCTTTCTTCCTTTAACTTCAGACTGTGTCGCATCCAAGGCGGAGGACCGGCTCTTCAGGAAGCTTTTTAGACGGTACAACCAGTTCATCAGACCCGTGGAGAACGTTTCTGATCCTGTTACCGTGGAGTTTGAGGTGTCCATCTCGCAGCTTGTTAAAGTCGTAAGTTTTTCTCTTCAGGAGACGCACGCATTTCAGAGAATTCAGTACATCCATGTGTCTTGTTTAAACTTATTCTTTGTGTCACGATCAGTCTTTGTGAAAAGGAATGTGTTTTCCATGATCGTCACATTGCCCAGCTTCTGATAAAAAAAATAATAGAAGCATTTCTATAGTTCATCCAATTTCAGAGACTTATGCGGCTCTGGAGTTTGCTTTGCGATTTGTGACTTGGTGGCTGTAAGTTTGTATCTGAAAGCACATTTTTGTTCAAATCCCTCAAAAGACAATCTTCAGAATAGGAGAAAAAAAAATACCTGGGAGAAACTTGTCAGATTGGGCTCACATGTAGTTATACTTATCTGCATGATCAGCAAGGTGAGATTAAGCTGAAGGCGAGTGTATTGACCTGTGTATTTGAGCTCTGACGAATGTGTCACACATGTGGGTCTGTGGCTTTTTGGGGTGGCTTGTGCAAAGTCGTGAGAATCACTGGACTGTGAATCAAACCTTAATGGCAGCGAGGCGGTGACACCTGAACCTCTACGTAAAGTTGACTTTTTCAGCTGAACAACCTCTGCACCAGAAAACACAAATTGAAAGAAAGGATTGTCTTTTTGTTCACTGTAAATTCCTAATAATTCCCAAGGTTGTTGTTGGGTTTTCACAACAACATCTAACTTTCTTATTCTTTTCTGCTGTTTCTTGTGCAGGATGAGGTGAATCAGATCATGGAAACAAATTTATGGCTCCGGCATGTGAGTTCACAATACACAAGGATTGTGAAAACTTTTGCCAACTTTTGTAAGTCAGATGCTTATATCGTATTGCAAAAATAGAAATAAATAATAATACTATTTAAATATGCGTGCCCTTTGAAAAAGTACCACAGCTCACCATTAAATAGGGAAAAATTGAACTTTATGATGAATTGAAATATGCATCTCTAATTACTTTTTTTATTTAATTTATTTTGATTTTACAGATTTATACAATAAACTTTGTTGATACTTTTTTTTTTTTTTTACACCATTTTACAGCGTTTTGTTTTGGTCTCAAGTAAAACACCAGCAGGTTTCTGTGACAGTAAATTTGCCTTTTGATTGAATCTCAAGGCCACAATAATCTACAATACCGGAGCCCATCGAGAATTATCCTGGCAATCATAATGCAAACTCGGTGGATAGATAAATGGAAAAACCAGTGTAGCATGAACTGGTTAATTAAAAATCTTCCAGGTCATGACTGAGCATTAATCCGTCTCGCTAATGGAAAAAAAAAAAAAAAAATCATCTAGAGCGACATCCAAATAGCCAAGACTAATGGATCCACAGCTCATAAAACGTTAGCTGCAGGTATTTTGGCTGAATAAATGAACGTGCTGATCTGTTATTTGCCAGTGAAGAATATATTCATACTTTCTGAGCTGCTCGCTGTACAGGCATGTCTACTGTTGGTAGCTTCATTCTTTTAAAAAAAATGGAACCAAGAAAATCGTTTTTCACAAGTATCGCAGGGGCAAAAGAAAGAGGATCGGTGGAATTTTACTGCATGGTGTTGTACTTAGATGGCTTCCCAGATCAGAAAAACAGTTCTGATTGCAAGTATTTTTATGCAACATCTTCACTAAACAACAAACACATTAATAATGTGTATGGTATCAATATAATCACTTGGTTTCCTGAATATGTTTCTTGTGTGTAAACAAAAAGTCTCTCACACAGATTAAAACTTGTCAACTTTTAGGCTTTACACTGGTTATATAATCATCATTGGATCTTCATCTTTCAGACATTAATTATATTTTATATCCTAGCATGTTTAGCTGCTTTGTCAACTGCCCTGCTTCGTATGAAGACCGGCAGTAAAAATATAATTCACAAATTCTCAAAGAATCCTCGTAACATCATTTTAGAAAAATTCGTATAATTTCTGGAATTATACAGCCGGATAAATTCCCAAAGCAAAGTGTTGTACTACACGTGTCAAACCAGAAGTTGCCAACACAATCTTGCAGCCACACATTGCCAAGAGAAAGGTAGAATATATTAAAAAAAAAAAAAACAGGAAACAGCCGTGTTTGATTTCTCTCTTCCAGATTTGGAACGACTACAAATTAAGATGGATGCCAGCAGAGTTTGATGGGATTGAATTCATCCGAGTTCCCTCAAACAAGATTTGGAGACCTGATATTGTTCTCTACAACAAGTGAGGCTTTTTCATCATCATCATCAGAGTCAGAATTCATCCGTCTGGACTGACATCACGTTGGAGTGACAAAGAGCTACGATTATTTATTGATTACTATTGGGAGCAAAAAGATGAGACAGTTGTTCAGTGTTTTGAATAATTTCAAAACATCTTGATTCTAATTTATGAAGTTTAAAAAAAAAGTAACTACAAGTACAATAAATGAGACCTGAACTTCAAAAGTTGGTCACAGCTTAAAATTTGTTTTATGTCTAAAATATTTCATACCAAGTATAAACAGAGAAGAACACACTCAAAAGAAACTCAAATAAAAGAATAAAAATAAAACAGAGAAAAAGACAAATTCACTGGAGTGTGTTGATGTCAGTTTAGTAGTTTAAATTGGTGAGGATGATGTTATGGTCAGCAGTTGAGTTACTTTGTGCCATGTGTCCTGCAGCCTCATTCCGTCTTTATTGCTGCTTACAGCAAAACGGCTCATTTCACACACAAACTTTTTCTAGCCTAACATTTCTTCTTCTGTGCCTCCATTTCCTATTTTTCCTCTTATTGTTTGAAACAATTCCCTTTCTCCCATCGTTGTGTCCTGTGTTAATCACACTCGTGTCATGTCGTTTGACGCCCCGGCTGTCTTGGAAACGTCTTGATACTGCAGTGCTGTGGGTGACTTCCTGGTAGAGGACAAGACCAAAGCCTTGCTGAAGTATGACGGTACGATCACCTGGGTTCCTCCTGCCATTTTTAAATCCTCATGCCCGATGGATATCACCTACTTCCCTTTTGACTATCAAAACTGCTCCATGAAGTTTGGCTCCTGGACTTATGACAAAGCCAAGATTGATCTTGTACTCATTGGATCCAAGGTCAGTACGTGTCTCAGCTTCCAGTGTTATGTTATAGAAATCTTTAATGATTCACCATTTTCTGCTTTTTTTAAAGGGACTCTTAAGACACACATTTTTGGTCCAAGCATAAAATCCACCAGTTTTCCTTTCTAAATGCTGCCAGGACTCTGCTGCTTTGTTTCCATTTAGTTTTTCATTGGTCTTCAATCAGCTGTTGACAAAACCTCCTTGTTAAAGGTTCATAAAATTATAAAAACTAATCCCTGCAGTTTTAATCTGAGTCCAGCTTCAGTGTAGTTTGTGAATTAGAAAAATGAGTTGATCTGTTTATTTTAAATGCCAGCCAATCACTTACAGACTCAAAAAGATAATTTCTTTTGCAACTCTTTACATGACTACATGCACACCCTATGGAGCATAAGACCAAGGAAGCCCATCAGAATCATTAGTCAGTCGGCTCACACTCGACCGTATCGCTTTCGTACTTTTCACGAGACTCATGGGCTATTCAGTGGATACTCTTTGATCTTACCTTCTTTTTAACATCCAACAATGTCAAACATTTCTACGATTTACACCACTTTAAAAACGAGTGTCTGTTGTTCTCGTAGTAGATCATTCAACTTGGAAATCCTGCTCGCCTCCTAGGTAAACCTCAAAGACTTCTGGGAAAGCGGGGAATGGGAAATCATTGACGCTCCGGGCTACAAGCACGACATCAAGTACAACTGCTGCGAGGAGATCTACCCGGACATCACGTACTCCTTCTACATCCGCCGCCTGCCGCTGTTCTACACCATCAACCTCATCATCCCCTGCCTCCTCATCTCTTTCCTCACAGTGCTGGTTTTCTACCTCCCATCTGACTGTGGAGAGAAGGTCACGCTCTGTATCTCCGTCCTGCTCTCCCTCACTGTGTTCCTGCTCGTGATCACAGAGACCATCCCCTCAACGTCACTGGTCATCCCCCTCATTGGAGAGTACCTGCTCTTCACGATGATCTTCGTCACCCTCAGCATCGTCATCACCGTGTTCGTGCTGAACGTGCACTACCGCACGCCCATGACGCACACCATGCCGTGCTGGGTGCGGTCCGTGTTCCTCAAAGTGCTGCCCAGGATCATGCTGATGCGTAGGCCGATAGATGAGGAGGGTAGGGCCGGGTGGTTGGACGGCAGTGGGGAAGCAGGAGGAGCTGGAGGGGGAGGAGGAGGCGGAGGAGGGAAAGGACGGAGGAAGAGGAAGAACAGCTTGATTCAGGTACGGAAATCTGACCCAGCCGCGTAGAAACTTGTTTCTCTTGAAGTTTCTCATGCATCATTTTGGGACACGTCAGATTGTGGCACCGCAGTACCACCTTCTGTTAGAAATAGTAACAACATTCCTCTAAGCTAATATTTTGTTGAACCTAAGGTCACGTCAGATAAAAAAAAAAAAAAAATGATTGGTGACCTGTTCAGAAATATTCACATTTCAATGTATTTGAAAAAAAATAAAAAAAACTAAACACTAAATATACTTACTGACCATGGCCATCGACTCGGACCAGGACTTTACATTTCTTACTTCTCAGCCAGTCCTTGGTGCACTTCCTGTTTTTTTTTGTTTTTGTTTTTTTTTTTTTTTGGCTCACTGGATCAACATACATGTTTTCCAGATGGTCTCTTATTGTTCTTGAGCAGCCTATGATGATAAGCTGCCCAGGTTTGGTTGGCTTCAGTTAAAAAACAAAAACAACTGTTAATCAGAGATTTCAAAAATAATGTTTTGCTCAAGTTTTAATTCATCAGAAAGGCAGGAAAACTTTATGAAGTGTAGCAGGAATCTCCCCTCCTGGATTTTCACCAGGAAGTACCTACAGATGAAGTTTGGGCCAACAACCATTTATCAAAAAGCTGTCACAAAACAGGGAATTAATGTTTAAAGACAGACTTTTGAATCTTATTGTTTTCCTACGGCAGCTGACTCTCCCCATCATCCGCTTGCACACCAGATGCCCTCGTGTCGGGTGTGATCTAATCAATGATAATGTAAACAGTTTATCAGCAAACAATGAATCAAGCTAAAGCCCTGACTTTCCAAGACTCTTTGGTGTTTCTGTGAAACTGAATCAGCAGGTCGATTTTTCTTGTGCAGTGAAAGGTGTGCACACATTTTCATGTCATTAGACGTTGGGCCTGTTTGAATAAAAAGTGTGTTCTGCATTTCATTTAAATTAACACTTTTCGCAGTATTTTCATGGGATAATCATAACATGTAAAGGAACGATTTCTGATAATGTGTTATTATTCTCTGTTTAAGCAGAAGACATTGGCGGGAATAGTTTTCTGGGGGTATAATCAATAAGGTCGTTAAGAAGGTTCTGCTTATCAATCTTTTAAAAAAATCCGTTCTTAAGATTCCCCTGTTGATGTTGTACAGCCGGGGTTGACAGTGTCACGCCGTCGTTTTGGTTTTACCACATCTGAAATGAGTGATGTGTGTCGTCATCCAAGATCTTTCCCAAACAGAGTCTAGTTTCCGGCTGTGCTTGTGTCCCCTCCAGCAGGTCGGAGGAGGCTCCCTCAACTGTCTGGAGGTCGGTGGGGACAGTAAGCTCGCGGCCATGGAGGGCTGCACTGGCAAGAAATGTCCCTGCCCCTGCCAGCACGTGAGGGAAACCCCAGAGACGCCAGAGTCTGGGAAGGTGCCTCGTCAGCTGAGTCCACAGAACATAAACACGGTGATGGCCTTCTCCGTGGTGTCGCCCGAGGTCAGACAGGCCATCGAGAGCGTCAAGTACATAGCTGAGAACATGAGGAGCAGGAACAAGGCCAAAGAGGTGCCGTGTTTTTCCAGCTTCTCTGAATTTTTTTATTGACGTGGGATTTACTCTTTACTGCCTTTATGGTTTAAGTGGTCTGTTATTATGGTACAGTAAATTACAGAAGAGACCATTAGTCTTATGTGGGTTTATAAACTGGATAAGGAGTTTATCCAGTTTATGAATTTGTGTCATAAACTTTGGACATTCAGTTTTTAAAGATAAACAGGAGACAGTGCTTTGCTGTTGGACTGGTCTATGACAATGAAGAAAAACAACTTGCGTAGGATGACGCAGCACTACAAAAACTATTAAACAAACCCACAGATTTGTGTCAAAATAGTGTTTCTATCTTAGATTTATTAAATAAAGTAATTCATACGTGTTTTACCATCTTGTATTAAGTACTCCAGGATGATAATTAATAGGCTACGAACCAATTCAACCCAGAGATGCTGATGAGGAATACAAAAAAACAGTGTGTATAGCCATTGCATCATTTTAAATGTATTTCTGACATGTTGCCATGTTGCTGTTTTCACCGTTCTCTGTTCTCTCTACAGGTGAGTTCATTTCACCCTTTTTCTCACCTTACATTGTAACACCAATTCTTCTTTACGCATGCCAGTTTCCTGCCGCGAAACCGCACCGTGTAGATTTTCTGAATGAATCTTAAAAATGATGCAGTGTAGAAGAGATACAGCTCTTTCGATTGTTTAAATATACCTTTTGTATGTACAAGGCGGTCGAAAATAAACACACTGCAGGGGTTCTTTTGCATAAAGCATTTATGCAAAAAAACACCACATTCGCACTGAAGGCCTATGGGAGAGCAGCATTCAAAAACTTCCCTAAATTGATGCAGAACCTAAACTGCTCTGAGAGTTCACAATGGTTCAGGTTGGAACAGAGGGTTCGCTTAAGGCTTTACTCCCCCGTATGTCGGCTATAAATAAAGAGGATGGAGTCTCCCGATGGGGAGCAGAAACGCTTGATATGAAAAACTCAGACGGATTTCTCAAAGTGCCTGTTGCTGTGGATTGAAATTAATTATCATAACAATTAATTCCTGTGTAAATAATGTATCAAATTTATGTTGACTCATGAAATTTGTGGTAACTTTCTCCTGTTTTTTCTTGATTTGAACATTTTCCGTCCTGATTTAAAGTTGGTATTTCAATCTTGAGTCACCTGGTTCCTGCTTACTGTGGACAATAGAAAAATATATACACATCATTTCATGCGTAATACCTCAAGTGTTTTTTTCTCTTTTTTTTTTTGTCTTCTACTTATAGGTAGAAGACGACTGGAAGTACGTCGCTATGGTCATCGACAGAATCTTCCTCTGGGTCTTTGTGACGGTGTGCGTCCTGGGAACCATGGGCCTCTTCATCCAGCCCCTCTTTGGTTTCGTCTCGTAACCGTTGTAAAACTCTGGGTTCTCAGCCACATTGTGACAACCAACACTAAGAAAACTTTCCTTTCTCAGTCGACTCATGACTGGATGCAGTTCTGAGACTTAAGGCATCGCTGGATGTGCTGGCTTTCCTCAATAAAAGCCTCACAAAGTTAAGAGAGAATTTTAATTTAATTAGTTGGTGTACTGCAATACGTTAGCAAAGATTGAAATGTAGTTATTGCATGTATCTGATGACTGTTTTTTTTTTTTTAACCAAAGTGATAATCGTAATTTTCCCCTTGTTAGGATAATTTAAAATTTAGGGCGTGGTGGTTCTTTCAATGATGTGGCAAATTTAGATTTTTGGATAGTGCATTTATTGCCACACCTGCTTAAGGTCTTCAAATAAAAAACACAGCCAAAAATAACACAGCTGGGCTGATATATAATCTATGTTGTTGCATTTTAGTTCTGATTTATGCTTGATGTACATACAGGTAAATTGATTTTCGGCGTAAAATGTGAAAAAAAAAAAAAAAAAAAAAAAAAAAAAATCACAAAAAAAAACCAGAACAGAAAACTCAGAGAAAAAATTGTCCAATAAAAGAAAAAAACACAAAAA